GGGGGGTGTGAGGGGGGGGGGGGAAAAAAGGTATTATACAGTAAATGTGCATTATACTTCATCATTTTGTACATCATTTAGAAAAGCTCCTAAATATTCCCATTATATTTGACTGTTCAAGCTATGATACCAGCAAAAGAAAAGCTCTAGTTTTGTTTTAAAGTGTGAAGACACCTTTGATCTTGATCTTGCTTGACTTAATGATAAACATTACAGTCAGTCAAATCAGCTACACACAAATTGTACATATCCACTTTCTCATAAAAAATGAATATTAAATATCTCCTAAATAAATGATTGAAAGATTGCATCTGAGGTTTTTTTGTGCAAATTGTGAGACCAAAGCACCGGCCCTAAGTAATCTGGAGCCAAGAATGACCATGTGTTACAGAATGTGTACTGCACTGACCTGACTTCAATCTAATGCAGTTTAACCTAATTGAAAGCATATGCTTTGGCCTGAAGCCAATGACGAAGTGTACTAATTAAACTAGAAAAGTTAAGCTTAAGAACTTGTAAATCCTTAGTGTGTTAGTGCAGCGTGTGCATTTAAATATTTGGTTGGGATTTGCTGGTATAGTTAGCAAGTCAACCACATAATTTTACTACATTAATCTCTGTGTTGCAAAGCAAATCAGCTTTGTCTTATGTTAATTTACAGATTGACATAAAGCGGTACTTTAGTGTCATTTAAAACATTGTGAGAAGGAAGTTTCTTTGTTGTTACAGAAGTGACATACTATGGGTTCAATTCATAAAGCTAAAACGGAACAGTTATTTTTTGCCTAGTCCAATAAGATTTGAAAATTACAAACATATGACTGTACTAAAGATATTTATCCTTGTGTTAAAGCTTTGTAAACTGAGCCTTATGGGCTTGATTTCCCAAAGGCAACTAGGCTGTTCACTTTGCAGGGTACGTTCACACCCGATGCAGTGCATTCCAGTCCGATTCTTGCTGGAATGCACTGCATCGCATTGCGGCTGGCTCCCTTTTTTTGTGGGGCAGGAGGGGGCGTGGCGGGCCATTGAAGTGAATGGTACCGTAGCCACGCCCTCTGGCCGCAATGAGATCGTCCGCACAAGATCGCAAGGCACATTGGGCCTGCGGTCTGGTACGGAGCAATCAAAAAAGTGAGCCGGCCACAATGCGCTGCAGTGCGTACTGGCCAGAATCAGGCCAGAACCAACTGCATCTGGTGTGAACGAACCCACAAGGGAATTTGCACTTAACAGGGGAAGTTTGCCCTTAGTTAGTGAATGACGGGAAGCTCTGCTGACTTACATCACCCAATCATCAAATAAAAATTCAGTTTTTTTTTTTCCTTGCACATGATTTGGGTATTCTTTATAAAGTGTAGTTTCACCACATTCACTAAGTTAAGGGAAACTTCCCCTGCAAAGTGCAAATTCCTTTGCAAGTGAACAGCCTATTTGCCTTTAATAAATGAACACCTATATATTCTGCAATAAAGGATTGTTACCTTTGTCCTTGAATACATATTAACTTTGCCGTCCAGCCATTGTAATTAAAAGGCCAGATGGCTTGCACTTGAGGGCAGATGGATATTTCTAAACATCTTTTCCCACTCCTGTGCCCTCAGTGGGAAACTTTGAACATTTTTGCAGCCGGCAATGGCTGTTACATACAAGCGTTCGGGTGGTTATAGAGCCGTACAATCGCTTGTACGGAGCTGGGGAAGTGTGCACCCGATCCACTGCTGGCTTTCCTAGGCTCCTCTGACCCCTGTGCGGGCCCGGGACTGGCACGCCGGGTCTGTTTACATTGATCAGAGAAAGATCAGCAGACTTCTAGCAGCTGATCTGCCCTCTGATCAAAGTGGAAGCAATGTGTATAACATCACTCCCAGGTTCCGGGAGTGTCATTTCTCTGACTGCTGTAGCCAAAGAAGAAGCTGGTGAAGCATGATCTCTGCTTCATCAGCTTCTTTGGGGCCCTAGGTGACATTAGGGGTCTAATAGTCCCCTGAAATTTCCATAAAGAGGAGTTGTCACTTTCACATAGGGGGGCTTGTTAGCACATGCATCTGCCGGGTGCCTGGATGAATGAACTCTCATGCGCATGCATGGTAGTTATGTGATCATTGTCAGACCAATCAAGATGGCCAAAGATTCCAAATGCAGAAGAAGTCGGCAAGAAGAAGTTGACACAGGCAAGGGAACTTGCCTATATATACACATATATATATACATACACACCACACATATAGAGATATAATTAAAATTAAAATTAGTTAAAAATAAATAAAATCATTAATATTATAATTCATATTTGAAAATGTATTTAAAAATATTAAAAACGAGCAAAGGAAGGAAAGGATTAATTTATCAACTATTTATTAGTTAAAAAGCAGTTTAAATCAAATTCTATATTTAATCCTTTAGGGGCCATGGTGTCAAGTAAAAAAATCCATTTTGATTCATTTTGTGATATCTTTTGTACAAGGTTAGTGCCTCTCCAATGTCTTTCCACTTTGTCTATTCCTACAACCTTAAGTAATGTTGGGTCACAGTTGTGGGAAATTTTAAAATGTTTGGAGAGGCTGTGATTATTGTATCCCTTTTTTATATTATTGACATGCTCTTCCAGTCTGTGTTTCAGCTGCCTAGAAGTTCTTCCCACATATTGCAACCCACAGGGGCATTCCAGGAGGTAGGTCACGTATCTGCTGTGACACGACACAAACTTCCTAATTTTATAATTTTTGTTTGTAGTATTGGACCTAAATTCTGTAATCTTTTTTCTTGTACCTGTAGTTCTACAACTAATACAGTATTTACATGGGTAGAAGCCTATACCATCAAATAGGGTTATTTTCTCTCTAGGTGGATCAATAACATTTTTAAACAGTCTTTGTCTTAAATTCGGTACTCGTCTATAGACTATTTTAGGTTTCTCGGGGAGGATTGGGCCTAGTCGGCAAGAAGATGTTGACACAGGCAAGGGAACTTGCAGATGTTGCCCTGGTTGGGAAGGGAGCATAGTTCCACTATACAAAATGTTAGAAATTATATTTGTATTTCATCTGTGGAACATCATTTTAAATAGTACTGAAATAATCGCGTACGTGAATAATATATTTATTGTGTAGCTTGCACTTGAGGCTTGTGTACACAGGAAATGCTGGCTTTTACAAATATAGCGCAACTCAAATGCATGCATTCAGAAGCAAAAAGCTGCTTCTGACCTGCTTTGCCTGCAATAAAAACGCACCTCCAATAGGTGCCCATTTAGAGGTATTCAATGCAAAGCAGGTCAAACCCAGCATCAGAACTGTCATCCACACTGTACCAAGGAAAATAAGAATCTTCTGACTTGTGTTTTCTAGGCTTTTCAAGTGCTCAATAAACACAGGTTAACAACGCCTCTGTACATGAGCCATTAAAGACATGAAAAATGAAGACTATAATGATAAGATAAGCTTTCCTATATTTTCCTACACCTTTAGCCCTTTCTCTGTATGCTCATTACATCTTTCTCTTTATTCTTTATCTTTCTCTTTATTCTGCTCTTGGGTCCTGGGGCCGAAGCCAGCCGAAGGATCGGCCGAAGCTACGGCCAG